AATTTGCTTGATATGAGCTGCTTAATGTGGGCCACATCTTCTTCTCTGGTACATGCAAGTATAAAATCGTCAACATATACAACAATAATATTCAAATACCCTTTGATCTTGCTTGTATAAATGCACGGTTCACTTGCACATGGGACGAAACCAATCTCCAATAGAGTGCTCTCCAGCTTTTGGTTCCACTCCCGACCGCTCTGTTTCAAGCCGTACAACGACTTCTTCAGCTTCAGTACGCGCTTGGGATGAGTAGCGTCGACAAAGCCCTCTGGTTGTCGCATATACACGTCATCGTGTAGCTCGCTGTTCAGGTATGCTGCAGAAACATCCATCTGATGCAGATGCATCTCGTGCTCGACAGCCAACGCAATCACCAATCTGATTGAGGAGTAACGTGCCACTGGAGAGAACGTTTCCATGTAGTTAACTCCGTATTGCTGTCCGCACCCTTTTGCGACCAATCTAGCTTTAAATCGCTGAACGTTGCCATACTCATCACGCTTGGTAGTAAAAACCCATTTACAACCAATAGCTTTTTCGCCTGCTGGAAGATCGACCAGACTCCATGTCTCAGTGTTCTTCAGGCTATCATACTCCTTCTGCATCGCCGATCTCCAGTTTTCAGATTGCTCTGACTGAAATGCATCCCTAACACATGTGGGAACAACAGCATTTCGAGCATCCAGTACATTCAGAACATTGTACTCTTTTCGTGGACGACCTGTACGCCCAGTGCGAACAATTCGTGGTCTCCCTGGACCTCTTTTACCTGTCACCTGCTCATCCTCAGCATCTTCTTCGTCACCACTTTGACACTGCCCATCAACTGTTGGACTTTGCTGCTGCTCAGCAGGATCGTGACTTTCTTCATCTTGCTCGCAATCAACTTTTTCATCTGGCTCAAGGATTAGCACATCTGACTTACTTGATGATCCTTGATCGTGCTCCAATCCCGTCCTGAACTTGTGCTCTAAAAACACAACGTCTCGGGATAACACAACGCTTCTTTTGACAGGGTTGTACAGACGATAAGCTTTGGCAGTCTCAGAATAACCTACCAGCATATGCTGCTCGCCTTTTGCTGAAAACTTGTTTTTATGCTTTTTATTTAATACAATAGCCTCCATACCAAATACTTTTAAATGGGATACGCTCGGTTTTTTCCCATACCAATCCTCATATGGAGTTTTGCCAATCAAAGCTGCAGTTTCAGCCCTATTGCGAAGATACGCAGCCGTCATTATCGCCTCGCCCCAAAAAGATTCACTAACTCCAGCATGCACCATCATACTTCGCGCCATTTCCACCAGTGTTCTGTTGGCGCGCTCCGCCACACCATTTTGTTGTGGAGTGTGGAGAACAGTTAGTTGTCTTTTTATACCATGGCTCGATAAGAATTTTTCAAATGTACCGCTCAGGTACTCACGCCCGTTGTCGCTTCTTATAGCCTTTATGCGTTTGCCAGTCTGATTTTCAGCCAACTTCTTAAAGTCTTTGAATTTCTCAAATACATCACTTTTATTCTTTAACATGTACACTGACATATAGCGCGATTTATCGTCAATAAACGTTGCAAAATAGCGCGCTCCACCTTGTGATGCCGTACGCATGGGTCCACATATGTCTGTATGAACTAACGCTAGTAATTCTTTTGAGCGATTTTCTGATACTTTGGGAAACCTTTTCACGCAAATCTTACTTTTTGCACACGTTTCGCACACAAAGTCATTTGTATTACACACACTAGCCGGAAGTCCATGAACCATGCCCTGTTTGATCATTTTATTTAGGCTATCATTTTATTTAAGCTGCAACTACTGTGTTCATGCTACTTTCAAACAAAAACAAATCATTATGTTTTTCTGCAACTAGCCAGTTTTCATTGTTACTGTCTTTAACAAACACTTTGTTTTTCACAAAAATTACTTTTAACCCTTTTTCAGTTGCCTTTGACACAGATATAAAATTGCATTGTAAGTCTCTCGCATATAAAACGTCGCGCAATTCGATCGTATTATTTCTCCACTTAAGCAACACTGTCCCGCAACACTCGGTTTCTATGTAATTATCGCCTGCTAGTTTTATTTTCTCTTTGTGCTCACGCATATGTATAAACATTGATTTGTCCGCGCACAAATGAGCTGTAGCACCACTGTCCACGCACCAGACAGTTTTTGTCAACTGGATTTTTCTAGAAAAAGAGAACACCGAAAAAGCCTTTTTACCGCTCTTTTCGATCGCTTTTTCGCTCTCGTTGTGTTTAACACCCTTTTTCTCTTTTAATCTGCACTTCGCCGTGAAATGCCCGTTTTGCCCGCAAAGCCAACACTTCATGTCTTTCGGGTCTTTCTTTGTCTTGTTTCGTTTACCGTTTGTTGGACGCGACGAAAAAATTGTATTCTCACTTTTTTCACCCTCGTCGCCTACGTTGCGCCTCTCTCCTTCTTCCATCAATTTGATTTTTAGAGCGTTAAATGTAGGCAATGCGTCTCGTGTCTCGATAGCGACCACGAAATTGTCCAACCCTTCATGTAAACTTGCTAGTAATATTATTACAAGCATTTCATCAGCCACCTGCACTTGTATTTCTCTTAACTTTTCTACGACATTAGAAAAATTAGCCAAATGCTCACGAACACTATCTGTAGCTGACATTTTCATATACAACAGTTGCTTGAACAACTGTACTTTTCGCGCGGGTCCCGACGGCATATAAATCTCGGATAACTTTGTCCACGCTTCTCTCGCGGTTCCACAGTGCTTTATATAGTTTATTTCCGACGCTTTTACAGATAACAAAATGCTAGCTAGAGCCTTCTCATCTTTGCTATCAAACGACGCTTTCTGTTCCACGGTATCGTTCTCATTTTTCAATAACCGTCCACATGTCACCGACCACAAGTCAGAATGAATTAACAGACTTTTCATCTGCACTGACCACGAACTATAGTTTTCACTATCTAGTTTCTCAATTGCAAACATTGAACTCATTTTGCACACATTAGTTTGGCACACGCTTTAACTAATAAATCGAGTCTCGTATTTGATTTTTTCAATCACCAGCACAGCTTTCACTTTCCGCTGCCTGGGCCCATAACCTATTCGATTCAGAGGTTTATTAGAGACTAAAACATACAAATGAATATATGCTGCAGCGCAGGCAGCCGAAAATGAACTTAAAGCATACACGAAAGAATCTCCGTTACAATTAACAGAACTTAACATGAGAATAATGTTAGACAAAGAAATAGACACAGCGGTGCTTACATACATAATTTTAACATAAAATTTAAAAAAAAAAAAAAAAAATATATATATAATAATAAATAATAAATAATAAACAACAAACAACAAATAATAAAAAAAATAAATAAATAAAAATCATATATAATAAATATAATAATAAATAAATAAATAATTTTTAACAAATTCAAATATAAAAAAATATATAATAATAAATGTAGTAAAAATATTCTTTTATATTTACTATTATTATATGATATTATTTGTTTTTATTGAAAGTACTTTTAATGTCTTTAGCTGCATTTCAGCCGATTTTCTATTTAATAAATGAAATTAACATTTTATTTTATTTTAAAGCCATTTACCATTAAAGTTCGCTCTAGTTTAACAAAATTCTGCTATGGAAACGATTTGAAAAAAGTTTTAAAATCTACAATTTCCAATTTGCTTTGATTCCTGTTCGACCATAGCTTTTGCTTTTTTCTCCGGCTTGTCTGCTTGGCCTGTGCAACGAGCCTTGCCCATCCTCTAAACACACTTCAGTGTCGTTGTCAGAACTCGTTTCACTTTCACTGAAATTGAGCGGCAAAGTTATCGGGACAGATTTCTTTGGTGCTTGCTATCAATGTCTGGACTATCAACTCGCCATTTTGTCAAGCTGTGATAAATGCGTGAGCATTGGCTGTCTGTGTGAGGACTGCGCTGCCCCGAACGACACGCTGGGCAGCAATAAATGTCAGATGGCAATTAAGTCAAGGTGTATGTGTATGTGTATATGTGTATGTGTGTGTCTGTCTATGGCACATGTAGCAGCCAGTTCTCCTTCACTTAACAGGGGTAGTAAAGAAATATCCCAAATGACGTCACAGCTGTGAGGGGTGCGAGCATTCCATGCCTTCCAGTGAGCATGGCTCTCAGCTCTCTCTCTCTCTCATTCTCTCTCTCAGATATATTCCATTTGTTTTGGGATATTTTTGTTTTGCGCTTTGCGCGGCAAATTCTATGAAGGCAAATCCTGTGGCGTTAGTCCGTTAGTCCATTGGGGGTTTCTCAATGGCTGCGGCTGGCGCTAAACTCGAGACGTTGGCAGGTGCGTTTGTGTGTGTGTGTGTGTGGGAGAGTTAAGTGTGGCGCTGGCTTAATGGCAACTGAAACACCAGTTGATTGCCAGGCGGTGTTGCATTTCAGCTTGCCCTGCCGCCTGCTGCCTGCTGCCTGCCTTTTGGCATATTGTATATTGCATGTGGTCTCTGTGGCAAGCATGAGCAGCACACGTAAGAGGGGGCAGCTTGTGGCAAATGCTGCTGGTTCGAGTTTCTTACGGCCAACAGTTTTGACAAGCCAATATTAATGCGTAACCCTAGATGAGGAAGGGCACGTTAACTGCCCTCTATTTCTTTCTATATTAACCCTTAGTGGTTCATAATTATGTCTGCATAATTTGATCTCGCTGGAGATCAAAATGTAATTAAAATGCGATTTGAATTTAACATTTCAAGCTGTCACAAATTAGAGATTTGTGAGTATTGCTTCGAATATTGTGTGATCTATTCAGTTGAATGGGAATGTAAAATGTAGACAGGAGAATGAATCCTGTCTAAGTTTGATTACAGATTTAAATTGATTCAATATAGTCAATTCTAATTGAAACAATGTTTAAATATTCGTCTTAAAACCTAAATTGCCAATTAACAATGAGAGTTTAATTTAATAAAAATCTTTACCCAAACTACATATAAGTTATAGCACTATAGTTACAGTTAGTCACTCCTCATCGACTAGCAACGAATAAGATATTTTATTTACTTTAATTTGATTTTAACATTTACTAGTTCCAATTATTTTGTTTTTACTCAAAGCAACTTACTAATTACAACTCCTTGTGGAGTAAGCGTCTTCATTTGCAAAATTATAGCTGATTATTCAATTGATTTGTGCTTCGAATGGTGCCCATGTTAGAGGAGTATGTTTTCGCACAAGAACCTCGTATTTGCTCAGCTGTCTCATGGGCAAATTCTCGTAGCGAATGAAGCAAGCCCTTTGCGCCAGATACAGGGTGCCAATGAAAATACCACCATCAGTTCGGCCACGGCAGACGTAGACGCGCTCGTTTGTAGCACTTGTGCCCACAGACACAGCATTCCTCTCCAAGAATCCATCGAAGCTGCGCACCCAGTCATAGCTGACCGTCTCATTGGACACCAACAGCTCGTATGAGGTGGACTGATTACCAACTGATTCGGTGTTATATGTAGCGTATCCAGTTTCGGCCCTAACACGCGCTGGCAGCACTGAGCTCGAGTAAACCACTCGGCCCACGAAGTTCTCATAGCCGTATGAATCATAGCCACCCAGGACGGCGTTTTCCGGGAAAGCCTTCGTCTTGTCGGAAAGCACCCACTTATCCGTGTTGTCGTAATATCCGCACTGAATCGAGCCCACCAACTGGGCAACGATGAGCGCACAGGCGACGAGTTTCGTTGAGGAATACATGGTTAATACTATTCGATAGCTGATCAAAGACTGTTGTGGAGATTGATGAAAAACTTCGCTCTTATATAGTACTCATTGGCATTAGAGGGAATCACTTGCCGAGTGGGTTTATATCATAAATCTAAGTGTAATTAGTGGGAGCCCCTTTGAAATTTTGATAAGATAATATACCAAATTCAGTGTTTAAATTCGTCATTATTAAATGTATAGATTAGAATGCTGCACGTTTCATGGAATTGATAAAATTTATGTTTTCAATGTTGTTTAATGCGAAGTTCAACCCATTCACTGTAAATTAGTAATTGCATCAATTTATTATAATATCCTAGACCCATTGAAAATGTGAAATCAGGTTTGTTAAAATTATGTAACAGGCAGAGGAAGGCGTATCAAAACTCATTAACTATATATATTCTTGATCAGAGCGAAAAGCTACGTAGATTTAGATATATGAATATAAATATTTGTTAATCCTTCCCATTCACAAGTAACCATAAACATAGTCATAATATATTTATCTCTTTTATTTTTGACAAATAATTACTCTGGAAATTCTTATAAACAGATATTTTTTGTTATATATTTTTGCTTTTATAAAAACAAAATTTACACTTGATTTTATATATATTTTTTGTATCATTAATTATTGTGTTAATATATTATTAATTATTATTAAGATGTCAATTTTTCCATAAAAGTAGAGTTTAGCTCAGGAAGCAAATTGTCTGAAGATATTTTATCCTTGGCAAAGTGCACTGAGTGCGCACCCAACCTCACGTGTAAAATGTGTCATAAACATTTGTTTCGTGTGCTGCGGCGAATGCCGAAAGTGGCTCAAAAACCTCACAGAAGCGAGGTTCCAGTTGACAAGTGAGCAGATGAGCAGGTGTGCGAGTAGAAACCACGGTAGCTGGGCAACTGTCAAGCGTAAGTCAAAACCATAAGTCGAACCACAACACTCTTGCCCAAGGTTTTCACGCTCTGTATCTCTGTATTGTCTTTTGTGGTTTGGCCACTACATACATACACAGACATGTGTGTGTGTGTGCCACAAAGACTCTGAGTTAGATGTGAGAGATTTTTTAAGGTATTTCTTATGGTTTTTTTTTACTGGTTAACTAAAGTTCACTTGTTTTATAAGAAACTATGTAAAGAAACGTTACAAATTATCTGATGGGGAGTGCCCAGCTAGGGGATAAAAGGCAAAAGCTTTTACTATTACTATTTAGTATTACTATTGTTTCAAGTTAGAAGCAAATTGCCGAGGGGTAGTGAAAAATAGTAGTATTCAAATGTCAGTTTAGGTAGCTATCAATTTCTTGGTAATAGTAAAGAAATGGAATTTGATCTTAAAACAAAACTGATAAATAGATCTACTTAGCGTTTCGTCCTGATCAAGAATAGAAATACATAATATCGTCTACCGCATTACCTTCTGACTGTCACATAAATATATTTGAGCGATAAGCAATTTCTATGGATTTCAGAAATTATAATTAGAATGCATACCAAGTTTCCTTATCAAAGCTAATTATTTCATACATTACATTTCCCATCTGGCTATTCCAAATTTACTCCATATGAAATTATTCACAATAATGAATAATATGCATTACTATGATGCACAGGTAAGGGATAACTGCAAAACTTTAAAGTTTTAAAAAATTCATTGCATAAAGAAAATATATGCCAAAAATAGGGTAAATTTTGCTTGGAGAACTTAGTCACAAAGATAGATTTAACACTTATGAATCTGAAATATGACTACACACAGATAAAGCATTTGAAATATGGACACTTTCAACTTCTATACTATATAATTGTTATTTTTCATATATAACAGACAATATTATATTTCAATAAAATCGTACATTATAGAAACGAATGACTAATCTGCGAATTATCTGCGAGACAAGTTACATAATATATTAAGTGCCGTTAATTCAAAACGTATTAAATATATTTTATTAATAGATTCCTTCTTATTGATTCCATGAAACGGGCAGCATTCTAATCTATACATTTAATAATGACGAATTTAAACACTGAATTTGGTATATTATCTTATCAAAATTTCAAAGGGGCTCCCACTAATTACACTTAGATTTATGATATAAACCCACTCGGCAAGTGATTCCCTCTAATGCCAATGAGTACTATATAAGAGCGAAGTTTTTCATCAATCTCCACAACAGTCTTTGATCAGCTATCGAATAGTATTAACCATGTATTCCTCAACGAAACTCGTCGCCTGTGCGCTCATCGTTGCCCAGTTGGTGGGCTCGATTCAGTGCGGATATTACGACAACACGGATAAGTGGGTGCTTTCCGACAAGACGAAGGCTTTCCCGGAAAACGCCGTCCTGGGTGGCTATGATTCATACGGCTATGAGAACTTCGTGGGCCGAGTGGTTTACTCGAGCTCAGTGCTGCCAGCGCGTGTTAGGGCCGAAACTGGATACGCTACATATAACACCGAATCAGTTGGTAATCAGTCCACCTCATACGAGCTGTTGGTGTCCAATGAGACGGTCAGCTATGACTGGGTGCGCAGCTTCGATGGATTCTTGGAGAGGAATGCTGTGTCTGTGGGCACAAGTGCTACAAACGAGCGCGTCTACGTCTGCCGTGGCCGAACTGATGGTGGTATTTTCATTGGCACCCTGTATCTGGCGCAAAGGGCTTGCTTCATTCGCTACGAGAATTTGCCCATGAGACAGCTGAGCAAATACGAGGTTCTTGTGCGAAAACATACTCCTCTAGCCTGGGCACCATTCGAGGTTCAAATCAACTAATGAAAATACGAACGAAGACGTTCGCTCTAATAGTATTCATAGAAGATAAATACTTGGGCTCTGTAAATTTGATAATAAAATAAGTTATTCATTCGACTATCGCAGCATAATAATACTTTGCTAGTTACTGAGGAGCGACTTATAAAAGCAATAGGAATAAGGATTAACACCCAGCTGGTTAAACAATGACTGGGCGAAAGCGAAAGAGTTTTTGTTTTTAACTTCAATTTCATTTTTTCCCCTTTGGCATACGGTCGGTCTTTTTGCAGTAAGCTAACACGACTAATTAAAAGCACTTTGTAGACTTTGCCAGGCAGACACATTTATTAGTGAGACGCAGCTGCAAAGACTTTTGTAAAGCGTAAAGCGTTGCGAGCCTGCGAAAGTTGAGCCTTTTGGCAAACGCCGACCGCTAAAGATGTGTGCACTGCTATGGGCGGGCGGGCTTTTGGGGCGTATAGGAACAAAAAACCGCAGAGCCAAACTTCATTAAAAATGCACACGGAAGCTGCTAAAAAGCCGCCAACATCATTTGAATAAAGCTACGACAGCCTCTTTTGTATGTGGTGCGTGCCCGAGTCTGTGTCTGTGTCTGTGTCTGTCCGTGTATTTGTGCGACTGTGTTCCATATGATGCCTTTAATTTATGAAGTCATTAGATGCACCCAGGTGGGTGCTGCCTCCAGTACTCTAGGCAGCTAGCAATTTGGCACTTGTGCAGCATGACTGCAATTGTCCCAATGCCCAGAAAATCGAGGCCATTCGGTTTGACAGCTGCCAGACGATAGCGTCCGGGCCAAGCGTGGACCAAGGCAAACGTTTTCTAATTTTCCACGCCATTAAATCAGAGACTTTTCGCCATGCAATGCCAACTGCCTGTAGCATCGTGACATGCAATGTCGCCATGTCTGAAGGGCGGCCAAAATCGTTGCAGCCGGGATTTACAGTGAATCCAGAGTTAGATCAGTTCCAAGTCTAGATGGCTAGCTACTTAAATACTAAATAACTTACAACCAAAATCAATCGAATTGAAATTGATATCAGCGCTTATGCTTGACAATAGCTGAGTGATTTACAGCTGAACTAAGCTACAACAGCTGTGAGTCTTACAGCAAAAATGTTCCCTTATAAAACGCAATCCCATGAATATCTAATATCCATTTGCATTAGCATTATGCAGCTCTGAGCGCCGTATAAAATCTATTTACATAAATATACATAAATCCCATTTTAACTCTGTACAAACATAACTTTCTTTTAAGCATATTTCGCCATGCAGGAAGTTCATTGTTTGGCACTAAAACCGCGACTAGGTGTTATTTTCTACTTAGCTGCGAAAAAAACACAAGTGAGAAATCAGAGTGACCGACTAAAATATACCCTAATCTAACTCATTTAACTAGCAGTAAATTGGTCACGTTAATTTAGGAATTTAGGGACATTTGATTGTCAACTCTTTTTAACTAATATTTAATACAACTCAAAGTCAGCACCGACTTAGGTATATAAAAATTTTATTGTACAACATTTAGTGCTCAGTCGCTCTACCGTTTTTTTAAAGCTCATTTGTATATACAGATATAAGTTATTATCAATGTCATCATTATTATTAATGCTGTTGTATTATGACTTTGACTATTTTCAACTTAGGCTTTCATATAACACTTCATGTTATTGGTACTTATATCATCATTACTTCATGTTATTTTTCTTATCATAATTTTAATGCTTAATTAGATAATGATAGTTTTCATTTTTATTATTGTATGAATAATTATCTTTATATGATAATTTACATATATAATAATTGTTGCTATCCAAATGACCAAATGACTTAATAAGAATTGGCTTATTGATCATGAACATATCGATCATTATCTTATCATTATAATTATTATTTAAACAAGCTTAACTTATTAAGTATTACAATGCTGTACATACAATATATTTAACTCTTTAATTAACAACCTCTCAGAGCAGAAGAATAGTAGCCCTGCGGTGCACTCGACGACTGTCCAGCAGGGTGTCGGGTAGATGACTGAAGAAACACTTGAGCAGCTTCGTCTTTATATAGGAGTCGAGGCTTGCACTCTCAAAAACGAGCTCCGCTCCTGAGCCTCTGGCTGAGTTTATTTGCTATGTGCCACCTGAGAGAGCTATAAAAGAGAGTAGAAATTTTCTGCTAGACATATGAAGAGTTAAGAGTTTATCAAAGCTAGATCTTAGATCAGGTAGATAGACGAACGAATTGGCAACTGG